ATATCTGCCTTTCAAATACAATAAAAAGAACTCATGAACTGTATGCCATACTGCAACTCAGATAATATTCCCTCCTATAATTATTAGGTAGCATTCTCTCCTGGAACTTAGAAAAGAGATGGAGACAGATGTCAAAGGAGAACAGAAGCCCGAGTATCTGGTTTCCATCTCTGGGTCTGAGTAATCAGCAATTTTTAGAAAATGTGGTTCCCGCCTCACCTTGCTCCCAGAGAGGATGCAAACATTTTCAAAGGGGAAAACCAGCAGCTGCTGGCGTATTGCAGCAAGATGTTTCAATAGGCATTAAAATACAGAGACAAAGCCAAATATTTGGTATTATTGTTTTTAAATTTTTTTGAGATAATATATTTTCATTTTACATTATAGTCAAGGGCTTGGTGCTCCACTAAATAAAGAATCCAACACACAAAATACAAGAAAGACCACAGTTCAGCAAGAACATGGACAAGGGCCGTAAACAATAATCAAATGAAGAGATGTCGACTTTGCCAATATACAGTAAACTTCAAGATAGCCACAGATCATCAAAACCATCATAGTACGTAATACCTAACAATTTGCCCAGCAAAGATTCAAAGTAAAGTTTGACAAAACACTTTATTGGCAGCAAAACTGATACAGGCATTTCCTTTTTTTTTTCCCCTTTTTTTAAAAGTAGTTCCCATGTATAAGGGAGAATATGCGGTATTTGTTTCTGCATATGGATCATTTCATTCAACATGATGTCCTTCTGTTGCAACCATTTTGATGCAAATAATAGAATTTCATTATTTTTATAGCTGAATGATATTCCATTGTGTGTATATATATGTGTGTGTGTATATATACATATATATATGTGTATACACACACACACACATATATGCACCACATTTTCTTTATGCATTCATCTGATGATGGGCACCTTGATTGTTCCATATTTTGGCTACTGTCAACAGTGCTGCTATAAAAATGGTGGTGCAGGTATCTCTTTGATACGTTGCCTTTTGGGTATGTACCCAGTAATGGGATTGCTGGGACACATGGCAAGAGTCTATTTCTAGTTTCTTGTAAGAAATCTCCATGCTGTTTTCCACAGTGGCTGCACTGATTTACATTCTGGTGGCACTTCTTCTTGCTCTTCAGTTTGGACATAGTTGGACTTGCTCAGGTATGAAAGCTGAGGAAAGGTGACCCCAGATCCGCACACGTGCAGGCAGGATGTTTGGGGGCGAAGGCTCACAATGTTGCCTTGCGAGAGTAATTTTAACATTCCACTTTGGGCCACCAAACAATGTTTACTTTGGTAATGATAGATCTAACTTGCAGAAAAAACAGTTTTGTTCCATACGTATTTATTACAAGTGTCTTGGGAGCTGTCTTTTTGATATTCTTCTCCAAACGTCCACTCTTTATTCAAACAAAAGATATACATTTCCTTGTTACTCACGATCTGCTTGGCAGGTCGTGGGACACCATAAAGGCTTGGGAAATTGCATAGAAGAAGTGAGCTTTCGGGGCCGGCGCTGTGGCGCAGTGTGTTAAAGCCCTGGCCCGAAGTGCCAGCATCCCATATGGGCGCTGATTCTAGTCCTCGCTGCTCCTCTTCCGTTCCAGCTCTCTGCTATGGCCTGGGAAGGCAGTGGAAGATGGCCCAAGTCCTTGGGCCCCTGCACCCACGTGGGAAACCTGGAGGAGGCTCCTGGCTCCTAGCTTCAGATGGGCGCAGCTCCAGCTGTTGCGGCCAATTGCGGAGTGAACCAACGAATGGAAGACCTCTCTCTCTCTCTGCCTCTCCTCTCTCTGTGTAACTCTAACTTTCAAATAAATAAATAAATCTTTAAAAAAAATAAAAAGAAGAAGTGAGCTTTCTCTAGGGTCCTAGATGCTGTTAAGATAAACAAGCAACATGTTTTCCTTTGGTGGATGGAGACACAAGCCCCAAATGTAATCTTCAAAGAAGTTAGGTTGTTTGTTGAAGTACCACAAACAGGGATCACTATAGTGAGGGGCTACTAGTAGCTTCTCTAAATTTAGAAATAACAATCTTTTCAGCTCCAGTGTGGGCAGTTTCAAATTCAGATGTTACTATAGGATACTGATAAATCAATTTGTCTTCTATGAGAGAAGTTATTGAAAAATACATGGTTAGGCAATAAAATGGTCCTCTGTGTTTTCTAAAGAACCAGTGAGTGGCTTTGAAGGAATGAGTGGTTTGAGAAGTTGCAGCGCAGTAACATGAAGTGGCCCAAGCCAAGACAACTGCGAGAACTCTAGGACTGATATTCTTCTGCTGGGGAAAGGGGTTTAATTCATCAGAGAGCCACAAAAGAGTGCTACCTGGAGTCGTGGCACACAAGTCAGACACTTGCACCTCACCTCTTTGAGTTCCTCAGAGTTTAGTTACTCTGAAAAGAACAGTTAATTGAACTAAACCAAGGCTCCAACTCTACCAGACAATAGCATCCCAGGGGTAGTTTGACAGTCTAATAGAAGAGATAATTTTCTTTTTTTTAAAGATTTATTATTTGAAAGACAGAGTTACAGAGAGAGGTAGAGATAAAGAGGTCTTCCATCTGCTGGTTCACTCCCAAGACGGCCGCAATGGCCAGAGCTGCACTGATCCAAAGCCAGGAGCCAGGAGCTTCTTCCGGTTCTCCCACGTGGGTGCAGGGGCCCAAGGACTTGGGACATCTTCCATTGCTTTCCCAGGCCATAACAGAGAGCTGGATCGGAAGTGGAGCAGCCAGGACTAGAACAGGCGCTCATATGGGTTGCCAGCACTTCAGGCCAGGGCTTTAACCCGCCACAGCGCCAGCCCCGAAGGGATAATTTTTCAAATATTTCACAAACTAGGCAAATACGCTGTTTCCATGAAACAAGTATTTATCAAGCATCCACTGGGTGTCAGGCTCTTTTAGGCACAGAGAATGCAGACGATGTCCTTGTTCTCACAAAGCCTACCTTCTAATATTGAACGGTTTCTCACTGGTGGGCATAGGGAAAGCATGAAGACATCCTCAGGAAGATAGATTAAGCAGTGGAAAAACTTGAAACACAGAATGCAGAAAAAAACAAGCAGATTCTGAGAAGCTTCCTGGGAAGCCACAGGGCCCTGTGAGTAATAGAAATGGAAGGGAAAGTGAATTCAGTGGCAATGGATGTTTCCCCTCCCTCTTGAAGAGCTTTGTAAGGAAACCCAGTGTTTGGGTTACAAACATGTGGTTTTCAGGAAACCAAGGGATAACCTGGGTGGCATTAATTAAATGAGCTTACTACCAGGCTTTTGCAGAAATCAATAAACATCTATTTTTTTAAGCACCCCCTGAGGTGACCTGCTGTCACCACTAGTTATTGTGTTAGATTGGTGAGTGTTTAACCAGATGTGAACAGGAACATTTTACCTGTGCAATTACAAAGTGTGTTCTGCAGCTCCAAGCCTTTCTCAGACCGCCCAAACTGCTTATCTGACTGTGCTTTTTGACTTACAAAGTTTAGAGAATCAACAACCCAGTTGTACTCTCAGGTTATAAAGATCTCGAAGGGGTCATAATACAATCAGGTTCATCAGTCTGAATAAAGATGTGCGATTGTTCTTACAGAATATTCAGTCTTGTCTAACTTCCAGTGGAGTTTTTCAAGATAGCTGCAGTTTACAGAATCAATTCGCCCTGTGGTTTATGGTGACAGCAGTCATATGCTCTGAGAAGCACTGTAAAATGCAGTACACTCATCTGAGTAACTGAAGAGATGTACCACCTGTTTCTTGAGACGACAGCTCTATCCTGGTCATTTTGCATTGGGATGGAAAAAACAGCCAACTCTTTTCGCCAAAGTGTTCTTTTTTGAAATTAGAAAAGTGTTTCCTTCCAGAAAAATCAGTAAGAACTAAGTGGAAAAAAAAAAAAAAAAAACAACAACTCCACCAATCACAAGAGATCCAGCTGTTTCTTGGTGCTTCTGTCTCTCCATACACCGTGGTTTTAAAAAAAAATGGGATCCTGGGGCCGGCGCTGTAGCGCAGTGGGTTAACGCCCTGGCCTTAAGCGTCGGCATCCCATATGGGCGCCGGTTCTAGTCCCAGCTGCTCCTCTTCCGATCCAGCTCTCTATGGCCTGGGATAGCAGTGGAGGATGGCCCAAGCCCTTGGGCCCCTGCACCCACGTGGGAGACCTGGAAGAAGCTCCTGGCTTCTGATCGGCGCAGCTCCGGCCATTGCAGCCATCTGGGGAGCGAACCATCGGATGGAAGACCTCTTTCTCTCTCTGCCTCTCCTCTCTCGGTGTAACTCTGATTTTCAAATAAATAAATAAATCTTTATAAAAAAATGGGATCCTATGTTGCATAGAGTTTGATTCGCCTCCTTGCCTCCTTAATGACCTTCACATTGTTCCATGTCATCCTACAGTATTTCCCCATGACTGTGTAAACGCAGGGGGCATACAGCCGACTTTATTCAAGGGCACAGTATGCAGTCAATTTTTATGTTCTTGGGAATTTAACAGAGCTCGTCCCTCCTCCTGCTCAGCCTTATGGTCGTTCTCCAAATCCCTCCGTGACCTCGGGCTAGCAAGGTTTCGTCGTCCCGCCTCGCGAAGTGGCAGGCAGGCAGGCTGGGGATGCCTCCACTCGCGTCGCTGACCGCCCGCCACGTTGCTCGCGTCCCACCCACACCTCGTAGAACCTCCAGGACCTGGCACCGTGCGGACCCCGGGGATCCCATCCCAAGAGACGCCGAGTCCACCATCCCATCACCTTTACACGGCAAAGCCCGAGTCCCAGGGCGCAACAGTCACCTCCCCCGTCCCGCTCCCGCCAGGTCGTCTTCCCTCGGGAACCCTCCCAGCTCCGCAACGCGGGCCCCGGACCCTGGGTCGACCCCAGCCCGCCTGCTGGCCGGGCCCGGGTGCCGTGCGCCGCCGAGGCCGGCCGGGAGCCGCGCGGGGCCGCGCCGTCCCCGAGTGATGACGCGCTTCCTGCCCTCCCGGCGCTCGCGGGCCGTGCGCTCGCGCTCGCCCTCGGCTCTTGTTCCGCGCCGGGAGCCAGCGGCGGCGGCAGTGGCTGAGGCGGCTGCGGGAGCGGAGCGGTCGCCGGGCGCGCTGGGGGACGCCGGCTGCACTCGGGGCAGGCGCTCTGCAGTGAGACAGTAAATGCATCCCCCGGTAAGGCGCACGGCTCACTCGGGCTCTCCCCTTCCTCCAGCTGCATGCACGTTGCATGAATTTCTCGTGTCTTTTCCCTCCCCTCTCCAGAAGGAAAATGTGGGTGGGTTTTTTTTGCCTCCCCTTTGCATCTCGTGAGTGATGCCAATGCAGAAAAAAACCCTCCAAGCACCCAGATTTCATGTCCTAGGAGGGCTTTTTGCAGGAAAATAAAAATAAAATGAAATGAATGCACCTGTCTACTGCACATGTATGTTTCACGGCGCACGACCCGGGCGCAGCGGCTTGCAAACAGCCTCGCCGCCGGCGCCCTGGCCGTAGGCAGCCGGGTCCGGGCCGGGGGCTCCCGCGGGGTTTCCGGTAACCGGGCTCTGAAAGCGGCCCCGCCTGCATGGAGTGTCCCCGCGACCCCGGCCCGGCCCCCGCGCCGGGAGGGGTGGTCGCGGGCGGAGCGGCTTCATTCCAGCACTGGCCGCCCAGACTCCAGCGCCACTTTGCAAACAAGTCTCCCGCCGGGGCTCGGGGCAGAGACCGCCTGCCGGCGCGGAGCTGCCGCTCGGTGCGGGACTCTCGAACCCGCGGCTTGCACGACTCCCTTCGCTTGGCACCTCGGCGGCAGCCAACTGCTGACCGCTGGGCGCCCGGGCAGTGCCGGGCCGAGGGCGAGGGCGGGACCTGGATCCTGCGCGGCTGGCCTCGCACCGTCCCCGCGAGCCGAGGCTTCGCGCCCACCGGGAGCCGCGGGGACCTGGGAGCCTGGCATTTCGGGATCCCTGAGGGGACCGAGGAGCGACGTTCGAGGGCGCCATGTTTTCGGTGGGTCTTGGCTGAGGAGAGAGGGGGCGTGCAGTTTGTGGGCCCCGGGGACCGCGCGGCGCCCCACCGGGGAGGCAGGAGCGATCGTCGCTGGGAAAGTTTGCGCGGCCGGCAGGCGCGGAGCGCGCACGGCGGCCGTCCCCGCAAGGGCGCGCGGGCTGCGGCGCGGCGCCAGGCGGGCCCTGCGGGGCTGGGGGGCGGCGGGCGGCGGAGGGTCAGGGACAGCGCGGGCGGCTGGCCGCCCAGCCGGGTCCTGAGGCCGGAGCAGGAGCACGCCCGGGGCTGGGAACACGCCCCTCTGCCCGGCCGCAGCGGGCGTCCCGGCGCTGCGCCCGAGCCCTGCGCCTAGCGGCGTCTCCATGCCGGGGGCAGCGCGTCCACACGGCGCCGGGGCTCTCCTGACTGTTCGGCGGGGCGCGGGAGCCCACTGCCTGCCGGAGAAGAGGCGCCCCGGTGCGCGGATCCGGGTGAGGCCCTGGCCGGTGCCGACCAGCCAGAACCTCCAGCGGCCTCGGCTGTGGTGGTGGCGGCGGCGGTTGCCCGCGGCTGCGTGCTTGGCTCCCGCCGGGCTGCCCGCCGAAGCCGGCGACGAGAGGGGGGCGTTCCCAGAAGTTGGGGCTGCAGGTGACACGTGGGGAAAGTTGCATTCCTGCTGCCGGCGAGGAGCCGGGATGGCTTGGGGAGAGGGAGTTGGGGCCGAATTCCTGCGTCTCGGTGGTGAGAAGTCACCTCAGGTTACTAACATGTGAGAGGGGAGGGAAGGGTTGACGTGGTCGCCCACAGGCGCGACTGAACGCGGGGCGGCGGGACGACGGCCCCCAAATGCTCTGAATTACACGCCCTCGAGTGCGCTAAACACCACTTAACTTTGCTTCCGTTGGTCCCTGGGCGCGCTGGGGCGCGGCACTCGCCAGGTGGCCCCCTGGCTGCCCCGCCTCGGGGCTGGGACGGTGGGGACACGGACAGTGTTGCTTTGTGAAGGGGCCGGGGAGCGCATGTTTGCCGAGCGCAGGGACCTGCCTGCCTTTCTCCTGGGCGTCTTCGTGAAGTCCTGTCACAGCACGGGGCCTTCGGCACTGGAAAGGCCGGAAGGGGACCCCAGGCCCCTCAAAGGAGGGCGGCAGACGGGGCGGAGAAGTAGCCTGAGCTGGAAGCGCCTCCCGCGGCGGCGGCGGCGGGGGTCGCTGTGTCCACCTGGGAGCCTTTACCGCCCCTGCTTGCAAACGCGCCGAGGCGGGGAGTCGGGTGTGACCCGCGCTGGACTGGAGGGAGACTCCAACTGCTCCGTCCAGCTCCATCATAGTGGGAAGCACTCAGAGCCAAAATTGGCGTCGCTGCCTTGGGAGAGAACCACAGCAGTGGCAGCCAGCCGGTATGGGTTTGGTACAGATGGATCCTGGAACCACAGAGACATGACAGACTCTAGGAAGCCACTGGTTTCCCTCCACCTATGTAGTCGTGCAGGTTATCTAGAAGATCCTAAAAGAGGTCTTACATTTTTTTTGAAGTTGATGCTGTCTTAAAGGGAAAGCGAACTTTTCTCTTAACTTGGCCCTGTTACTGGGATATCCTGGACGGGTATAATCTCCCTTCCTCTGCGTGTTTTGAATTCATACTGAGTCTACTTTAGGATTTTTCAGATACTTCTTTAGTGTATCTTTACCTGCAGTGAAAGTATAGGAAGAGGGGGTATGTGTTATTGCTAGTCTAGTTTCTTTTTTTTCAAAATCTCTTAATGATACTGATTACTCTGCACTCCTCCACTGATCCCAAGGTCAGTTAAGGATTGTTACAGGGGATGAACAACCCCTCAAAACCTGCACATGCAATGATGTGCTTATTCACTTTAGCATATTGCTTTGTACCTACATAGGTGCCAGTTAAATTTTTGTGAGTATGTTGAACATTCTATAACTTAAGAAAACACTTACAAAAGAGGAGCTTTATGGCAAAACCCTTTGGTCTTCATTTACAAGAGTTTATTTATTTATGACCTTGATATCTATCTGTTTTTTATGCCTCTCTGGACAAAGCGTAATAAATTATGCTTTGTTGCCTCTTGCCCAACTCTTATTATCATAACTTCAACTTCGTGGCTTGATCAAAGTTGCTGCTTTTTTCCCTCTATTACAGTTTTGTAACTTCAAGAAGTTAGAAACTGCCTGTGCATTTTGGAACTTTGCCTGTTGGTTTACCAGGCTGCCTGGTGTGTGTGTTGTGGTGTATGTGTGTGTTTGTGGTGAACCCAAGCTCTTGGGACAGTTGTGACATTATAGCTCCAGAAGGTTTGAGTCATCATGTTTTCTTGGAGATTTTGGGTGGTGTCTGGCTAATACAGGAAGTCCTAAAAAGAGTTAAATGATTCAAAGTTATTTTTATTGGATACAAAAAACTTTAAAGACAAGAAGGAAAACATAGTCAGCCCTGCCTGTATTACTGCTTAACATACCCAACTGGTGCCTTTTTAATTATAGTACTTTCCCCAGAACTTTTTAATCCCATTACTTTTATATTTAATAAGGAGACTAGTTAAAACATAAGCCAAAGAGAACTGTTACAAATAATAGGGATAAATGGTGGGTATAACCAGATGTTTTGCCTAAAGTTAAACAAGTTCAGGAATCTGAGCTCTGTCAAATTCCCCTGAAGGGCCCACACCCACTCCCCAGTAAGCCAGATTTTTAAAGGCAGAAAAGTGTTAGAGAGGGGTGGAGACAAAAAAGAAAAACAAACAAACAAAAAATATGCCCAAGGTAGGCCCCTCTTGGCTTTGACCATAGTCAAAAAAACCTTTGGCTTTGTGGCAGGTGCCATTTGAATGACAGTTGGTGGACAAGCCTGGGTGCAAAATGCCTTGGTCATGAGAGCTTTGTTTATGTGTTACCCAGAGCTGTGAATTAGGACTGGGTTTATTGGCTGACTGTTTTCACAGTGGATTTTTAGAGTCAGTGCCAAGACCATGGTTTTGTTTTTCTCTTAACCAACAATTTCATTTCAGCCAACCTGGTACTGTTCTGAAAATGTTGAACAAGTAAGAACATTTGTATTTCCCTTTGACTCTCCTAGCTATAACTTCAACAGAATTCTCTAGGCTGCTGTGTGCTTTATGCCAAGGGGACATCTCCTGCCCACACCCCACATGTTGTGTTCCTACCCAGTGATCATCTTTTGTACTTTGTGTGTCTAATAGATTGCCGACGAGGGATGTGTGTGTGATTAAGTGGAACGCGAAGTGCAGGACAGTAGAAGGATGCGGAAGGGATGTGGACAGGCAGTTCCCCAAAGGAGAGATGCCAGTGATGGCTAAACATGCACAGGTTCCCAGCCTCCTTAGTGGCCGCAGAGATACAGATCTAAAAACAAGGAGGTCGTACTGATGTGCCCAGTGGCCCGTCTTTGGAAATGGTTGGTACCATTCAGACTGTGTTGGGGACAGTGTGAAGTGCTGCCGCCTTTAGGGAGAGCATGCGTGCCTTCTGTCCCAGCAGTCTGCATGGGGAGCGCTGTCCTACAGAAATGCAAACCTTGGCCTGTAAGGCTGTGTGTGTGAGGCTGCCTGTTGCAGGTTTATTACAGGAAGGAACTAGCAGTAACATGAATGTCCATTAGTAGGATGGATAAAATTAGGGTCCCTGTGTACTGGAGATTATTTTGTGAGGGATGTCATGACATGCTGAGTAAAAGTGGTGTGAAAAATAAAAGGTTAGCTGTAAAATATTGTATGTAGTGTGATCCTATTTCTAGTTTTAAGTAAGAAGCCGAAGTATGTGTGTGACCTGAGAAAGATGTAGAAGGACATGGAAAACTTTATATTGCTTCAAATTGGCAGTCGGGGTGGGGAGGAAGTTAACTTTCTGTACCTGTATCTCATTTGGCTGTCTTGTTCAAACATGCAAGCTTTTCTATATGATTATAACTTTTGAAATTATTTGGTTAATAAATAGGAAACTCACCAGCATTATTTTGGAAACAAAGGCTTGGAAATACCACTTACTTCCTCTGCTGCCGCCTACAGAAGTCTCTTATCTCTGGAAATTTGAGTTAATTGCCTTCTAAAATCATGAGATTTCCCAACATTTAGCTGTATAACTGTAGCTTCAGGAAAAGCTGTTTACCTCTGCCCCCAGAAGAGGAGTGAACAGAAACACTCGGGAAAGCCCCAGTTGAGCACTCGGCATGGTCTT